GGTGGGTGGGGGCTAGGGGTGTGACGTTGTTAGATGCTGCTGAGAAGGGGACCCCAAAGTCGGGCATATGCTTTGGGAAGTGTGAAGCTGGATTTTCGGGGACAGCTGTGGGAGCTCAGAGATCAGTGCAGAGGCATCTGTGGCCGTGTCCTCGTGAAATCCCCAAGGCTGGGACAGGCAGGGATGCGGAGGATGAACGGGTTTGAGATCTGGAGATCTGATTCCAGACAGAAGTCTTAGAGTGGAAGCCGGCCGAGCCTCCACTGCTCCAGCCTCTACCCCCCACGGACCCCGCCTGTTCCTCTCATCCCTTTGCAGGAAGGATGCCTGTGGCCCTCGGAGAGCACAGTGTCAGGCAGCGGAATCCCTGAGGTAAGAGCCCTCCACTCCTCCTCAAAGAGGTGTCCTTTTGGCCGGGACCCTCCTGCAGGATTGTCCGTCCCTGGCACCGAGGGAGCAGCCCATTGTCCCCGCAGCATGGGGCACAAACACTGCCCCAATTTCGAGGTCCAAGGCGCAGCTTTGTGGTGCGGGTCACACCCCGGGGCCCTGGTGGGATCAGGCTGAAGCTGAGGCTGGTCCCAGCTGCTCCTCCCCCTCCCCTAGAAAGCCAAATCTCAGGACCTGCTCGTGGGGGTCTCAAGACCACCGGTCCCCTCACCGCGCTCTGCTCCCTCCAGCCGCAGGTCTACACCGCACCCCGGCCTGCCGACCGCCTGGCCGTGCCCCCGTTCGCCCAGAGGGACCGCTTCCACCGTTTCCAGCCCACGTACCCATACCTGCAGCACGAGATCGACCTGCCCCCAACCATCTCGCTGTCGGACGGGGAGGAGCCCCCACCCTACCAGGGCCCCTGCACCCTCCAGCTGCGGGACCCCGAGCAGCAGCTGGAGTTGAACCGCGAGTCAGTGCGTGCACCCCCCAACAGGACCGTCTTTGACAGTGACCTGATGGACGGCGCCAGGCTGGGCGGCCCCTGCCCCCCCAGCAGTAACTCGGGCATCAGCGCCACGTGCTACCGCGGGGGCGGACGCGTGGAGGGGCCGCCACCCACCTACAGCGAGGTCATCGGCCACTACCCCGGCCCTTCCTTCCAGCACCAGCAGAGCAGCGGGCCGCCCTCCTTGCTGGAGGGGACCCGTCTTCACCACGCACACCTCGCCCCCCTGGAGAGCGTGGCCATCTGGAGCAAAGACAAGGATAAACAGAAGGGACACCCTCTCTAGGCGTCCCCGTGTTCCGGCCAGCCGCCACAGCGGAAGGGCCGGACACACCGCGCTTCTGGACGAGGGGCAGGAGGAGGCGGGGGACGCCGGCGTGCGGGTGGGCCATCCTCTCCCACCGCCCGTGTATAAATATTTACATGTGATGTCTGGTCTGAATGCACAAGCCAAGAGAGCTTGCAAAAAACCACGTTTCTTTGTTGAGCTGTGTCTTGAAGGCAAAAGAGAAAAAAAAGCCCTACAGTAGTCTTTCTGTTTCTAGTTGTGCTGCGTGTGTGGACGCTTCCTTTTGTTTATGATGATTTCACTTAACTTTAAAGACATATTTGCACAAAACCTTTGTTTAAGGATCTGCAATATTATATATATAAATATATATAAAATAAGAGAGGCTGTATTGCGAGGGCAGGAGTATTTTTGTATTAGAAGAGGCCTATTAAAAAAAAAGTTGTTTTCTGAACTAGAAGAGGAAAAAAAAATGGCAATTTTTGAGTGCCAAGTCGGAAAGTGTGTATTACCTTGTAAAGAAAAAAAAATTACAAAGCAGGGGTTTAGAGTTATTTATATAAATGTTGAGATTTTGCACTATTTTTTAATATAAATATGTCAGTGCTTGTTTGATGGAAACTTCTCTCGTGTCTGTTGAGGGAGAAATGTTGAGATTGCAGAGTCAACGTCAGGCAGGGGGTGAGCCTCCCCCAGAGTCTGAAGAGGGGTCCTGTCCCCAGGGGGCTGCTTTCCTTGAAAAGTGGACGCTCTGTCCAGGGATAGGTGGTCACCGCGTTATACATTCCTTCCCCAAGAAGACACATTTCCACCCCCCTTCTGGGCCAGAACAGCCTTGAAATCACAAACAGAATAGGACAGTTACCACAGAGGCACCAAGTTCCAGGTGGTGGTTTTGCCTTTCCCAAAATGAAAATAAAATGTTACTGAAGGAATCCGTTTTTCCTCTTCTTTTATTCCCCAACCATGAGTTCCCATGGGGAGGAGACGGGGACCCTTCAACGCTGCAGCTGGTCCCTGCACGGGTTGCAGGGTTCGGAGGCTCGTGTGCACTGAGCACTGGGCGCCTCGCGGGGCTCTGGGTTTGCTGTAGGGAGCGTGCCTGTGGGGGCAGTGACCTCAGCCCTGCCCGTTGCCCTCCGTGTGTCAACACTCGCTCGACAGACCTGTGGACAGGCGGCCCGAGGCACGACGGTGGCAAGCCAGCGGTCCTCCCAGGACACCTGAAAGGCAGCAAAGCCCGTGTCAACCCAGGCCTCACGCTTTGGGAGAATTCATCGTCTTCTTGCCCCCAGTCTTGTCCCTCGCCCTGGAAACCATCGCTGTCAATGTGTTTGCTTCTCTGTTTTCATTTGTGTCTGTCAGACTCCGCCCTTGTTCACCAGGTTTTTATTGGAGAGACCCCTTCTGGTGGTGTGCACAGGAAGGGGCAGGAAGGGGCGTGTAGGAGGTGACAGACGGAGAGAGTGTGGGATGGGGTCCAGGTCCCATGGGACCCACCGGGCCAGTGGCTGAAGGTTGAGTCTGGGCCTTCGTTGTTAACGGAGGGGCTCCTGGCTCTGGCCGCCTGCTGCCTTCCATCCTATGGAGGTGTCTTGTCCTTTTCAGCAGAACACTAGCTAGTAGACTAACATAAAAGAAAGATATGAGAGGCTATAGCTATTGCTTATAGGCAGCTTTTTTTATTACTTGAAAAACAAAAATCTGAGAACAGTTTTGGAGTTTCAACCATGGGAACTCCATCTGTCTACACTCATGTGCTGTAAGAACATGGTGAGGGTGCCCAACCTGGGAGAAAGTTCCTGTCCCTGGCAGCCGCAGCACCTGCCTCTCCATGGGCAGCACCTGCCTCTCCATGGGGTCTTCAGCCTCAAATTTGCTTCTCTTTCGAAGACAGTTCTTTGAAAAGATCGTGCAGCGATGTCAATAGAGCTTGTTGGAAGGTACAAGGACACACCTGTCGAGATCACCGCAACGCAGCTTTCCTTTCTGTGACACGTCTCTAGTGCCTTACTGGGGAGGGCAGCAACCCTCTTGTGGGGCGGGACATTCCCGGACATCGCCTTGCTCCCTGGGGACTCCCGGCCCCTTCCTGGCCCCACCGAGGGCTCCTGCTTCTCTTCAGACCCTTGTTGTCCCCTCCTGCTCTCGCCCTCGCTCCACCGTGGATGTGCCAAGCTTGATGAGGTGGCTCCTTCCTGTCTCCCGTCTTCTGTGTCTGGGTCCAAAACCTAGAAATGAACCTCGTTTCTGTGGGGGCCAAAAGCCAGGCTGAAGCGTTGCCAAAGATCCCATGAGCTGAACCATTTAAGTCTTGCTTCGTGGCCTTTCTGGATTTGCTGGGTGGGTCGCCCTTGAGGAGGAGGAAGGGAGCGGGTCGCTGGCCTCCGCTGGCTTGAGGTTGGTGCCTGCCCTTCTCATCACAGCCCTGTGTGGATGCCCAGTGCCTCCCGGGCTTCGTGCCCAATGGGCAACAGAAGTTCATGGGGAGAGTGGCTTGTCACAGGCAGGACACCTCCCAGGAAACCCTGGGCATCCCTCTGGAAATAGCAGAGGGCTGCTCTTGGCTTCCACATGGGACCCTGGAGCCCTGGGGCGCCCTCTCTCCTCTGGGTGTCAGATGTCGTGGGATCTCTAAACCAGCTCCTTGGGACCCCCTTTCCACAGGAAGCCAGAGGGTCTTCTCGGAAGCAGCTGGTTGGAGGGGGACCAGGTTGGCGTTGAGTCTGCTGCTCCTTCCCGGGTTCCGAGGAGGCCAATTGCGGTTTCATGACAGCTTCCTCTCATCCGTCACTGCATTTCCTCCCAGTAGGAAAGTCACCCCCCGCCCCGCAAGAGCTGGGTTCCACACAGATAGATTTAGCAGTGTCCGTGTTCCCCCCCAAACCCAGCATTTAGCCCCCATGTAGCCAAGACCAGGTCAGAGCCAGAAGCAGACCTGTCCCCTGTCCTCATTGGTCACCCCTGTGAATTGTACGTTTCAGAGACAGTTTTTTGCCATGTACAGTGTGAAGCTGCCAGAACCTGAAACATCCTGATGATATGGAAGGAACATGGTGTTTGTGTTTCTGTAAAGGGTGCTTGAAGTGTGGCTATACCCTAGAGCTCGGAAGGACACAGCCGTGGCCGACTGCCAGATCCCACAGTCATCGTGCTGAAGGCGATGCTCGCACAGTGCATTCCGGACATGGGAACTGCATCGCTCTGCCGCCTGTTCCCTGAGTTCTGTTAAAGTTCGTCCTCTGTATGCACCCCCGTTGCTGGCAGGGTGTGGTGCCTGCGAAGCTGCTGTGTAAGAGTGTACCCGGATGCCCATCCGCAGGCCTGAAGAAACTGCTAGTTGTGTGTCAGTAATCACTAGTGGCAATGATGACCTTCTGAAAAGCTGCAATACTTATACAATAAATTTTGCAATTCTTTGGAACAAGACTTTTTTCCCTTCTTTGGTCATATGGCTCTTCCTGGCTCCCAGCCCCTTCTCTTGGGTGTGTTTAGTGGGGAGAAAGCAATTCCTTATAGCTGCTGGGTAGCCTTGAGCAATCCATCCAGCCTCTCTGTTTTAGTTCAGGCAGCATTCAGGGAGTCCAGGGGAATCACTTGCAGGGGATTCTAATAAAAGGGACAGTCACTGGGATTACATGAATTTGCAAAACATTGTGCACATTTCCTCCATTTTGGGAAATCATGATTCACCATAGCATGATGAAAGTTCTGATAAGTTCTGCAAGAACAAAACTATTTTAGATGAGGTTCTTCCAGAAGCAAACCCTGAGACGTGAACTTCTGTGCAAGGGGTGTATTAAAGATGTGCTTCCTGGGGAGACAGCTGAGGAGGGGAGAGGTCAAGCAAGGGGGACAGTTTTGAGCAAAGTTCCAGCCTCAGTCTGATCCCCAGGGGGGCCTGTGGGAGGTTCTGGAACAAAGTAGATCCCTGGCCTCCCTGGCTCCCCTGGCTCTTGGTGCATCAGAATAAGGCAGGGAGAGGTCCCAGAAGCCACACAGAGGCTGGGATAGGGGCACACACACCCCTAAAAGGTTTGCGGGGGGGTCAGGGGCACAGTGTCCACTATAGAAGCTGTCTCACGTGTTTCTTTAAATACAATTGACCCCTGAACAACGAGGGGTTCAAGCCACGCTGTCGCCCCCACCCTTGCAGTCAAAAATCCGCTCATAACCTTCAACTCTTCCTAAAACTGAACTATTAATGTCGCCTACTGTTGACCAGAGGCCTTACCAATGACACAGACGGTTAATTGACACATATATTGACTAGAGTCTACATATATTCTATGTATTTATGGTTATTTTTCAATATTTCTTTAGTATTTTTCAATATTTCTATTTTTCAATATGTCTAGGCTATGTAGTATCTCTGTATTTTTATATTGCTGTAAACCTAAAAAAAATCTAATATTTATTGAAAAGTTAGTGTATAAGTAGATCCGTGTTCAAGGGGCAGCTCTAGAATCATCATTAATGTCTAATTGAGGTTTTTTAAGAAAATCAACCAATATCTTGGCCAGGTGCGGTTGCTCGCACCTGTAATCCCAGCAATTTGAGAGGTACAGACAGGAAGATTGCTTGAGGTCAGAAGTTCAAGGCCAGCCTGGGCAACAAAACAAGACCCCACAGCTACAAAAAAATAGAAAAAGTAGCCAGATGTGATGGCATGCATCTGTAGTCCCAGCTACCCTGGAGGCTGAGGTAGAAGGATCACCTGAGCACAAGAGGTCGAGGCTGCAGTGAATCGTGATTGTGCCACTGCACTCCAGCCTGGGTGACATGAGACCCTGACTCAGTCAATCCAGCCAATATAAAGACTAGAACTGCTTGGTCCCAGTCCCAGGATTTCCCAACTTCCTGGACTCTGGGTCCTAGAAGCAGCTCAGGATTGGGGACGCACAGCAGCCCATATGTCGGGGCAAAACTGAGTGCCATTGGCCTCCAAGACCCTCTTGCTGGCAGAGAAAAGCCTCAGAGATTCCAAGGAACTGGGAGAAGCCAACAGTGTGCTCCCACTCCTCGGGTGAGAGTGGGGGCCGTGTGCGGGGCCCACCTGCCCTGCTGGAGGTCACTCCCTTGCAACCCTCTGTCCCTGGGTCTGTAGAACGGTCATTGAGGTTTGCACCTGGTGTCTGGGGAGGTCATGCCTCTACCACCATCCCAGCAGGGTCCAGCGCCCTCAGATATCAACCACTCTTGCTGCTGGCGGGGTCTTTCAGGCAGGGCTTTCATATCAAAAACAAATGCCCCTGGAGTCTTCTGGGCCAACTTGCAGGTCCTGGGCTGGGCATGCAGACAGAACGGCCTCCCAGGAGGTTGGGAAGGAACAGAGAGCCCTTCCCAGCCCGAGAGGGGAGTCGGGCTCTGATCAAGAGGAAGATACCACACCCTTGAGTAGATCCAGTCGTAACCCCTCCAGAATAATGATCCAGTCAGGGCCGTCCGTCCACACTTACTGAATTTGGCTCAGGGCCAAGTTCTTGCTGGACATTGGCAGCTCATCACCTGGAGGGGCTTGGCTTGGGCTCATTGGGTATGTTTTTGAGCTCGGCTGGAACCAGGCGGAGAGGCTGCTGGGCCCTCAGACCCACCTGTCCTCAGAGCCCTCGCTCACCTTCTGGTTTTGGAGACAGACTTGCACACAGGCTCCACAGCCCGGGGGGTGGGTGGGGAGATGAGAAAGCAACTGTGGGGAGCAGGGGTGGTTGGAGCCAGCTGGACTGTGAGCTTAGAGATGTTAGGGAGTTGGGGTGGGGGGAGCCAGGCGGCGACCTGAGCCAACACTGGGCACTGGCTCAGCTTGACCACGTGAACCCTGGGGGTGGGGAGGTCCCCGCCCACACACTAGCCTGGAGGACTAAGGGTGTGGGCTGGCTCCGTGGGCCAGGAGAGGCCCGGCATGGCCACACACATCGCTTTCTCCTGCTTGGGA